TATTTTTTCCAATTAAATTCAAGATGACCGACTTTGGTATCTCCCGGCTCTCCTTTGAGTCCAGGAAATCCAGTAATGCCAAGGTGGTCCACGATTTCCTTTCATTCCAGGTAATCCCTTTTTGAAAAAAAAGAAAATTTGAAAATACAGATGATTATTAAAAAAACGATATATTTTATCTCTAAAACATGAGGAGAATGTATACATAAAAAGAAATGATAGATTAAATACCGATATTATCATGAATTCTTTTTTTACATTTACCAGTTTGTATTTGAATGTAACCATATCAGATTTCTTTGACATCATTACAAAAATGTCTTTTCTTTCAGCAATATTGAACGAATGGATAGACGGAAGACACTATCGGGTAATGTTCTTTCATCGAATAGGATTTTTAATATTTAGCTTTATTTTCATATGTCTACATATGATTTCAATCTGTTTTGATATAGATGTATGGAGTTGTATAACAATGTTCCTTTTTAGCTCACCTGTCACAAAGTGACAGGGTGAGCTTTTGTGATCGCTTTTCGTCCGGCGTCCGTCCGTCGTCCGTCGTCCGTCCGTCCGTCCGTAAACTTTTGCTTTAAATGACATCTCCTCATAAACCACTGAGCCAATTTCATCCAAACTTCACAGGAATGTCCCTTTGGTGGTCACCTTTAAAAATTGTTCAAAGAATTTAATTCCATGCAGAACTCTGGTTGCCATGGCAACCAAAAGAAAAAACTTTAAATATCATCTTTTAAAAAACCATAAGAGCTAGAGCTTAGATATTTGGCATGAAACATCTTCTAGTGAGTGTCTACCAAGTTTGTTCAAATAAAAGCCCTGGGGTCAAAATTGGCCCCGCCCCTGGGGGTCATTGATTTTCCCTATATGCATATAGTAAAAACTTAAAAAATCTTCTTTTAAAGAACCGTAAGAGCTAGAGCTTAGATATTTGGCATGAAACATCTTCTAGTGAATGTCTACCAAGTTTGTTCAAATAAAAGCCCTGGGGTCAAAATTGGCCCCGACCCAGGGGGTCATTGATTTTCCCTATATGCATATAGTAAAAACTTAAAAAATCTTCTTTTAAAGAACCCAAAGAGCTAGAGCTAAGATATTAAGCATGAAACATCTTCTAGTGAGTGTCTACCAAGTTTGTTCAAATTAAAGCCCTGGGGTCAAAATTGGCCCCGCCCCGGGGGTCATTGATTTTCCCTATATGCATATAGTAAAAACTTAAAAAATCTTCTTTTAATGAAACATAAGAGCTAGAGCTTAGATATTTGGCATGAAACATCTTCTAGTGAATGTCTACAAAGTTTGTTCAAATAAAAGCCCTGGGGTCAAAATTGACCCCGCCCCAGGGGGTCATAGATTTTCCCTATATGCATAAAGTAAAAACTTAAAAAAATTTCTTTTAAAGAACCCAAAGAGCTAGAGCTAAGATATTAAGCATGAAACATCTTCTAGTGAGTGTCTACCAAGTTTGTTCAAATTAAAGCCCTGGGGTCAAAATTGGCCCCGCCCCGGGGGTCATTGATTTTCCCAATATGCATATGGTAAAAACTTAAAAAATCTTCTTTTAAAGAACCATAAAAGCTAGAGCTTAGATATTTGGCATGAAACATCTTCTAGTGAATGTCTACCAAGTTTGTTCAAATAAAAGCCCTGGGGTTAAATTTGACCCGGCCCCTGGGGGTCATAGATTTTCCCTATATGCATATAGTAAAAACTTAAAAAATCTTCTTTTAAAGAACCCAAAGAGCTAGTGCTAAGATATTTATCATGAAACATCTTCTAATGAGTGTCTACCAAGTTTGTTCAAATAAAAGCTCTGGGGTCAAAATGGCCCCGCCCCAGGGGGTCATTGATTTTCCCTATATGCATATAGTAAAAACTTAAAAAATCTTCTTTTAAAGAACTCAAAGAGCTAGAGCTAAGATATTTAGCATGAAACATGTTCTAATGGGTGTCTACCAAGTATGTTCAAATAAAAGCCCTGGGGTCAAAACTGGCCCCGCCCGGGGGGGGTATTGATTTTCCTTATATGTGTATAGCAAAAAACTTAAAAATCTTCTTTGGAAAAAACCCAAATAGCTAGAGTTTAGATATTAAGCATGAAACATCTTTAAGTAAATATCTACAAAGTTTTGTTAAAATAAACGCCCGGGGGTCAAAACTGGCCCTGCCCCAGGGGTGACATTGTTTTTAACTATATGTGTATAGTAAAAACTTTAAAAATCTTCTTTTAAAAATGCCAATGAAGCTAGAACTTAGATGTTTAGCATGAAACATCTTCTTATGGGTGTCTACGAAGTCTGTTCAAATAAACAAATAAAAGCCCTTGGGTAAAAATTGGCCCGGGGGTGGGGGGCCTATATACAGGTGAGCGACCTAAGGGCCATCATGGCCCTCTTGTTTTCCAATCGAACTAAAAAATCAGGTCTTTACGTGAACTATTTCTCAAATTATCGTCATACCAAACAAAGGGAAATATTATGTGTTGTATAGAATATCATAAAACCAACAGGGCCATAATGACCGTAAATTTCACACACTCAAACCATTGTTGCCTTCTTCAACACAGTAATTAGACCACATAGGACACGTCGTTTTTGGTCACAGCCGCATGATTTGTAAACCATTTGTAAATGTCCGTTAGAAAATGCTCTAATATAGTTTTCAACTGTATTTAAATGTGTTTCCCATTAAAACACTATATCAACTATATAACTAACGGGGCGGGGCCAATGATATTCTAGCGGCATAATTCAAAGATTCTATAGCACCCGTAAAGGTGATGCTACATATAAAATAAGAGAAAATAAAAATGCAGTTCTGTATGTTGCAAAGTATTTTTGTTCAAAGCTTTGTTCATGAGGGAAAGAGTTCGATTCTTATGTAGGTTCATAAAATTATAAACACAGTCACATCCGGGCAGGCCAAATTTTTTAATAGATGACTTCAAGGTATTATGCCAAATATCTTAACTTCTGCCATTGTTGTTTCTGATAATACTATTTTTAAGACATCTTTACTTTATATGTCTATGTAAACTGAGTGGCCCTAAAGGTGGATTATTTTACCAGATGGACATAATTTTGATACGCCCAAAGAAACATAGTATCGTATTACAGTCAGACGCTGTCCATCCGTCTGTCCGTTTCTTAAAAATCAAGGAGAGTACCTATGTGACTATAAGTAGTGAACAATAAGTAACTGTACTCTCTTTAAGAATCCAGCTTTTAAATCCAGTTTTTCGTTAAGGTGGCCAATAGAGCAATTGGGAGAAAAGTGGAGTAGCAACATAAGTAAGAACTGTCCCGTTAGAGCGGCCGTATATCTGTTTGTAGAAAATTATGTTTTTTTATTATTGGTTTCCGCAAGATCACTTTTAAAGAAAGATTTCAATGATTGTGTTTATGTATGTCCTGTCAAAATTCAGGTCAAGTTCGATATTCGCGGCAATCAACTTACTTCTATTACTGATAGAATTATGCCCCTGCATACCGCAGGATAACTTTTGATGGATTTCAGCGATTGCACTTATACTTTGGATGCAAGAATGTTTTGTCAAAACACGATATAACCTATCAATTAATCATTTGCAAAGCAATGTCCCTTTATATGCAAATATAAATGTTAAATTATCTTCCATTGCTAGTATGCTATAATCTCAAAAAAATGGACAGTATAAGTTATTCTTTCACATTTGACAGGAAAATATTTTGTGTGCTACTTAAAACAATAAATTCTTATATCTATCTTTAAAATATACTTTCAGATTTGATACTTTCTGTTCTATTGACTTTCGGTTTTGTTTGAACTTTTGGAGAGGTGTACTAGTATTCAAACCTACAAGTCTACTAACAATAAGTAGTTCCCAGATATTCGCAATTTTTTAGAGGTCACTTAAGCAATTGTACTAAAGACTGGGTTATAAGAAGTATAGTTTTCCTGTAGCAGACTATTATATTAATGATTAATGGTTTTATTTCTTTTGATTTGTTTATTTTCTATTTAAAAACTTTAAAATAATGAAATTAAAAATGACATACTCTAAGTCCTGGAAAACCAGGCATTCCCCGTGGCCCTTGCTCTCCAGGGAGTCCGTCTTGTCCGGGTTCCCCTTTTACAGCTTTTATCAATATCGAAGGTTGTGATACTAGACAAAAGATAATCAAGCATTTACAATAACAATTTTAGATGTGCCTAAATCCAATGACAAAATTTCTGTCAAACAATTATCAATGTTTACCGAACTTTATTAAATATGCAAAGTTATAGAATAGTTAATGAAATATTAAAATAATTATACATGCATTTAAACAACTATTATTTATTTACATATTTCATCTCATCCTATTTTGTTTTCCTCACACTTCATTTAATGGCGTTTCAATAATATACATTATCTCATTCAAACCAAAACAAGATGGAAATTAAATTGCCGTTATGATTTATAAAATTTCTTAACGATTTGGTCATAGAATAAAACGTACCAAGTCTGGCGTCAACTTTCTCTAAGATAGACTGTTCTAATTTACCAAGACGCTGCAAGAAGTCGTTAAAATCTTGCGATCTGACCTCCGACTGTTTTCCATTTTTTTCATTTACGGTCGCGTTTTCATCTCTACTTTCCTTCAGTTGATCAGTCAAATTTTGATTTCTGCTTGAATCAGGGTCGTGTATATTTATGAAGCACTGCTGACATCTCTTGTGTGTTAGTTCATTCAGTCTATCTTCTATTGTATGTTGAAACGTCCTGAAAAATAATTGATTTATCCATTTATTGTATATAAAGTGAATATTTTAGCACTTTATATTGTAACAATAAGTTTTTCGATATTCTGTTGAACAGTTTTAATTTTGCCTATATGTCTATATGAATACTCCCGAAAACGTCATCAAGTGAAGTGTATCAAAGTCGTTTAATAAAAGTCACATTTCGTGTTGAATTATCTTTAATCATACAATATCATAACCCTATAATATTCCCGTTTAAAGAGGCCTTTTATTTTTGTTGGAAAACAGTTCTGTGTTGTTTCAAACTAAGCATTTGAACTATGTTTTGCAACGATTTTATCTAGGAAACAATGCATCATACTACTGTTCTTTAAAACAGCATCCCGGGAGCTATTTTAACGTGCTGTAAGAAATAGAAGATCGTGTCTGCTGTACTAAATTACATATAGAGAGAGGACCGTTTTCCTTATATTATCAAATGAAATAACGCTTACCTCATTTCAGTAAAAGCTTCTTGTAAACGGTCCGATAGCGTTTTATCCTTATCAACATCAATACTGCCAGGTACAGTTCTTAGTCCATATACAAACAAAATGAAACGTATAATATGAGTTCTTAAAAAAATTGCCATTTCTTCTTTAAAATAGCCCTAACACAAGTAAAACCGAAAATTTATTTTGACTGTAAATAAAAGCCTCAAAACACAATAACATCTGCCATATACTTCAATTAGTGTTATCAATGTACCTTTTAAACAGATTCTTGAAATAAATACGTGTGTACGATAAGATTATAGGCATCATTTCTAAATGTTTCACAGTTATATACTTTATGAAGAAATTAATCTTAGTAAACATAAAATGTTTGTTTGATTGGCTTTTATGTCACACCGACAAAGTATAGGTCATATTGCAAATTTCCAGTTTTACTGAGGAGGAAGACCTCGGGTGCCATGAAATATTTCAGGCAAGAACGGAAACTTGAGTAAAATCACCGACGTTCTGTAAGCTAGCTGGATAGCTCAGAAGTTATATTTCAGCAGAATTGTGATGATAATCTACAATCAGAAGATTTTCTTAACAAAACTTGGTAATACTCAGACTATAAATTTGCAGGATAAATCTTTTTTATTTTTTCAAATGTTTGCCTAGATTAATGTTGGGCATATTATAGGCCTTATTATTGACCTGGCAATCTGACTAAAGTTTAAATCTATTTATTTCTTTTAAGTAGATATGATAACGACCGCTTACTTTTCAGCAATCGGACTAAAGTTGAGATCTATTTATTTCTTTTAAGTAATTAACGACCGTATATGTTTCGCCTTATTCATAATTCGTATTTCTCGAAAAAGCTATTTCTAGCTATGCAATCAAAACCGGTTTTTATGCTCGCCGAAATATTTCCGGGGAGCATATAGTCGTCGGGTTGTCCGTCCGTCCGTACGTACGTACGTCCCGAATTCGTGTCCGGCCCATAACTTTGTTATTTGAAGTCGGATTTTAAAACTTTTTCACAGAAATGATCACCATATTGAGACGACGTGTCGCGCGCAACATTTGGGTCGCTACCTTGAAGGTCAAGGTCACAGCATGACCTTGCAGCAAAATCGTGTCCGGTCCTTAAATTTGTTATTTGAAGTCGGATTTTGAAAATATTTCACAGAAATGATCACCATATTGAGACGATGTATCGCGAGTAAAATGTGGGTCGCTTCCTTGAAGGTCAAGGTCACAGCATGACCTTGCAGCAAAATCGTGTCCGGCCCATAACTTCGCTATTTGAAGTCGGATTTAAAAAGTATTTCACAGAAATGATCATCATATTAAGATGACGTGTCACGCACACATTTGGGTCGCTACCTTGAAGGTCAAGGTCACAGCATGACCTTGCAGCAAAATTGTGTCCGGCACATAACTTCATTATTTGAAGTCGGATTTTACAACTATTCCACAGAAATGATCACCACAATGAGAGATTGTGTCGCGCGCAACATTTGGGTCGCTACCTTGAAGGTCAAGGTCACGGCATGACCTTGCAGCAAAATCGTGTCCGGCCCATAACTTCGTTACTGGAAGTCGGATTTAACAACTATTTCACAGAGATGATCACCATATTGAATCGACGTGTCACATGCAACATTTGGGTCGCTACCTTGAAGGCCAAGGTCACAGCTGACTTGCAGCAAAATCATGTCCGGCGCATAACTTCGTTATTTGAAGTCGGATTTAACAACTATTTCACAGAGATGATCACCATATTGAGACAATGTGTCGTGCACAATATTTGGGTTGTTTTTACACTTTGAACTTAGTCTGTGACATAACTCTGACACAACAAGAGGTATACCTTCCTGTGTCCAAAACCTATTCGGGGAGCATCACCCGGTTCAACCGGCTCTTGTTTACATAGGCATTAGAAGAAGTATCAAACTACCGCTATACGTGGAAGTTAAACAACTTGTTGATTTGTGTTAGAAATAAACATGTTTGAAGTATTTTTTAACAAATTACTTGAAAAACAGACACAATTTTTAATTGGCAAGATTGTTTTGCCAGTTTACCTGTCGGCTATATGGACAACGCCATGTTTGTTCTCGATATCGTGAAAATAACCTACTCAGTATTGGTTTTCCCAGGGTTAAAATTAGAAACCTCATTGCTGTTCAAAATTATGAAAGCTCTCTGATGGTTGGCTGTGTGAATAGTCACCACCAGAAATAATTTCGAAATGGGTCAAGCTCAGATCTAAAAGCGGAACGTTATTTAGAACTGATTTTAATCAGATTGTTTGACCTACTTGAATGTTTTTCATCCAAGTAGGTCCATTAAAGTTAACAATGCAATTATTTTATTAAATTATATCATTGTTACGAATTTTAATTCGTGGCTTGAAAAATACTTTTTAATCATAGAGGGTTATTACGCCTTAACGGGACTCCACTGAGGTTTTTGATATGATGGGACTGATTTTATTTTCCTTTTAAATGTACCATTCAATGTAGGTTTAGACCTCTAATCTTTGTGCAAAATTTCATATCATTCGCGCACTTCGTTTTTCCAGAATAATTATTCACATTGTAAATAAATGACCCGAAATGAAAAGCGTTTAAACGCTTTTCACGCAAATCGGACTAAGAAAAGCATATACATACGATTTTCAATTATTTCAAAGTATATTTCTTAACTATCTTTGCATATATTTCTGTCTAAAGTGCCCCAGCTCATTTATGTAAGAAATTCAAATGTTATGTTTTTAGGCTTTTAAACCTCAGTTGAGTCCCTTTAATGACATAAAATCATAAGCCGAAAGGTTATATATAGCAAGTATGATATTAAATAAAGAACGTAAATTAGATATGTACATTAATAATCTAAATGTATAGCCATAACACTGATATTGTAATTCAAAAATACAAATGATTGTTTGAAAGGTAGACATATTTTATCTATAATACACTTGATAAGCATGTTTGTATCTATAATACATTTCAGCAGCACATAAGTGTCTATAATACATTTCAGCAGCGGGATTTTGTCTTCTGCAGCAAATTGTGTGTCTTTAATACATTTCTACAGTAGGACTTTGTCTATAATTCATTTCAGCAGCAAATTTGTGTCTGTAATACATGTCAGCGGAAATTTTGTGTCTATAATACCTTTCAGCAGCTTGTTTACGTCTATAATACATTTCAGCAGCAAACGTGTCTCTATAATACATTTGTGACAGGTTAATGGCTTATTTTTAGAATAGAAATTATACTTATAACTAAAAATGAGAGTGTGTTTTTAAGGACTACACATCCTTTTAGGCACCAATAGGTTCAGCTTTTCATTACTTTTTTCTCTTCACTAGATCGTATGATACTTTTAGTTTTCAAACATTAAACATTCACTAGCTAATTCTTGTTTAATCTTTGATGTTTTAGAGCCATGGCACTAGCTGCATTTGCTCTAGGGCATATTAAGGGGAATTGTATTTGCGTTTGTAGAAATTAGATATGTTTTTTTTTTTCATTTCGAGGACCCACAAAATCTAGCAAAGTGACTTCTAATAACAAGTGACTATTCTTTTTATCATTTTTATCTGAAATATATGCTAGGGGCAATTTGTAACAGTATGAGATTTGTAAGTTAAGCTAATCAATCGAGTCATTCATAATCATATGTATTATCCAATTTATACCCAGCAGGCACTCAACGTCGTTTCAACATTGAACCAACGTTGAAGAGTGGGTCGTAATATTCAACTATGGACGACAATACGGATCTTTTGCCAATGTATATTTAACGTTGATTAAACGTTGTTGGTCAATGTTTTACTTTTAGTTTAATCATTATTTAAACTTTTATACCACAAATGTATATACTTATACTATTATTCATAAAATTTACATATTTGTTGTTTTAAGGATGCTGCATAACAGCAGAGAATGAATTCTTCATGGACAAATGCTGCATTATACTAATGGGAAGCAGTTTTTCTTACTGAACATAGTTGAGACTTTTAAATAGCTGTTTTTAAGTTTTTGTTGTTTTATGTACATAATTTGCTGTCAATATGAAACTTCAGCTGTATCTCAATTTTTATACTGTTATATTATGTAAATCTTAAACAGAACCATCTTTAGATAAAATGAATCACTGAGTAAAGTTTGAGATTGACTAAGTCACTTTTAACTTGTCACTTATTATTTTACTTGCAGAAGCAGTAAGAGACAGTCACAGAAGTATTAAAACACCATCATGAAACACGTTAGACATACTGAGAAAGATCTAGAAGAAGTAGCAGTTTGGTACAGATTGTAGCTTCATTGTTAAATTATACGGACTTCTTTGATAGTTTAAATTTAAGCTGCATTTGAACAGTATTTTTGAACTATCTGAAGTATTTAATATTGTCTTGATTGTTTTGTTAAACTTTGATACTTGTTTTATATCTTAAAATTAAAGTATGGTGGGTTTTCAAATTTGAAATGACATTGAAACTTCAACGTTGTGCCAACGTTGAATGTGCAACGTTGTATCAACGTTGAACTTTCAATGTTGTTTCATCTTTCAAATCCGAATATAATCCAAAGTTATTTCAACGTTGAAATCTGGCCATAATTCAACGTTGTTACAACGTTGGTGTGCCCGCTGGGTACTTATTCTTTTCTGTTTATAGCTTGTTATAAAGGCTGTATAATTTCAATAAGGTTTGACTGTTTATTCCACTTATTCATTTGACCTTTGAACATCTGCATTGTACAATAATAGTATTCACCTAACTTTATTTACAAAAGATAACCTAATTGTATGAAGCCTTAGAGCATTCACTTTTATGAAAAAAAATATAATTCAATGTATAGTATTAATGATTTAAGGTATTAACGTTTTGAGCGTTTGAGCACCTATGTTCTTTCTCCACCACTAAAGCTGGGAAGCCGCCATATTATATATACTATCTTGGTGCGATGTAAAACAAATGCAAAAAAGTATTTGATTTTTACCAAAATTGTGCCATTTTAGCTCACCCGTCACAAAATGACATGGCGAGCTTTTGTAGTGGCTTTTCGTTCGGCGTGTGTCCGTAAACTTTTACTTTATACGAAATCTCTTATGAACAACAAAGCCAATTTCATCAAAACCTCGCAGAAATATTCCTTTTGTGGTCAACGTCAGATAAGGTTGAAAAATAATTCAATTCCATGCAGAACTGTCATACATAAAAAGATAAAAAAAAAAAAAACTT